TCGGGCTCCCGACTGAGTGTCCAAAGCACCAGTAGGATGATGCATGTGGTCTTAATATCCGGCAATGTGTCAAGAAAGGTCTCCAGCGTGGTCAGCCCCTTGGCCTGTATTGGTGGGTTCCGCATGGATGAGGGGAAGTTGGGCATCCAGGCGGTGAATTCCAACTGGAGGTGGAGTAGAGAGGGGCTTCTGGGTCAGAGGTCTCTGGGTCAGAGACCCTTGGGTGTCGATGGAGGTGGGGATTGAACTGGGGACTCTGGTTGAGACAGATCTGGGCCAGACTGGGGATTATGGCTGAGGCAGAATTCAGATGTTAGGGCTGGGATTAAGGTCAAGTCTGGGCCTGGGGCAGGGGCTGGAGCGTCCAGGTACCTGCCCTGTGTTGACAGCTGCATGCTTGGCAGAGCAGGTGTAGATGACAATGGTGACATATCGGATCAGTTCAGGCACAGTTCGCAAGCATGTGGGGAAGCCTGGTGGGAGGGCAGGTGCAGGCGGGTAAGGCCCAGGCCACATCAGTGCTGCCCAGGTCCTGGCTGGCCCACAGAGGGCATGGCCAAGCCCAGCTCACCTTGTTCTTCCAGCACTCCAGGCTGCCCCCAACCTGCCTGTTTGGCCCTTGTTTGGCCACAAACCACCCCCACCCCCAAGGTAGGGTTCAACTGGGCCTTGGCCAAATGTCCTCAGGGGCTTCTCCAAATTGCTTCTCTTTCCTGTGCCCCACCTGAGCACCTAGCTCTGGTTGCCATGGTGACCCCAGGTTCCAAAAGCCCAACACATTCAAACCAGACCTGTCATCTTCCTCCTTCAACTGTTCCTCCTTCCAGGCCCCCAGCTCAAAGAATGATACACACCATCCACCCAGTTTCAAAAGCCCAAAACCCAGGAGTCACCCTTGGCTCCTCCCTCCCACCACTCAGCCCCCACTGACAAACCCAAACCAGTCAGCAAGTCCTATCATTTCTGTCTCCCAACTAGCTCTGGCATCCTCTTCATCCCCAGAGCCCCTTCCCAGGGCAGGTCCCTGTCATCTCCCTCCTGGACACCACAGAAGCTTCCCAAACTGTTCCCTGACCACCAGTGCAGTCTGACATCCTACTGTGTACGTTTCATCTCCCCAGACACCCCTCGACGGCTCCCTCTGAACTCAGAGGAGTTCCAGACTCCTTAACCAGGCTGCAGCACCCAGCCCCTGCTCCTGGCTTCAGCCTCATCTCACAGGAGGCTGCCCCACTCCCCCCGCCCCAGAACCCCAGCTGCAGGGACTTATCAGCAGTCCCAGAACTGACTCTGCTCAGTCTGGCTTTCAGGCCTTTCCACATGCAGCTCCCAAGACAGGACTCTCCAACCCCACCTCTGTCATCACCTGGCTGACCTCCCATCATGCAAATCTTAGCTAGATCTTAGCTTGCTGCTACACACCCCTCACTCTCTACCTGCCAGCCCTCCCCAACCTGGGGTAGGTTCCCCCGCCCCACGCTGGGTTCCTACAGCCCCTTCCTGGCTTCCCCACAAACTGCACCAGTCTTACCATAGTGCACCTGCCCGTTTACAGTGAGTGGCTACCCCTGGATACTGATCAACTCAAGGGCAGCGCCTTCAGCGTCTCATTCCCTTTGGCCTCCCCAGTAACCAGTACAGTGTTCACCACACTGTAGGTGCTCACTAAATACTTGTTGAGTGGGTGCCCAAGTTGCACATCTTCAGGATTTGCTCCCCACCCCCTCCCTCTCCTGAAACCTGCCTGCTCCTCGCTAGCTCCTCTGCCTCCAGGACACTGGCCTGTCCTGTTGGAACTCATGCCCCATTTCTCAGCCCACAAAGGTTTTTGTTTTTTCTTCCTGAAGCAAGAGACTGGGACTTCTCCTGGTATCTACCAAGATGACCCACAGCCCCCTGAGCTCAGACAGGGACCCCCAGCTAGTCAGGCTTTCTTCCCCAACCTCTCTGAGATGCCACTGCTCCAGCGGCCAGTGAAGAGCTCTGTTGAATCCCAGGGCTCTCTTTGGCCTCCTTCAGCCCAAAATGAGACTAGCTTCAGCCCAGCCTGGGAGGGCCCACCCCATGCCACAGCCCTGGGTCCCTGGTGGGGGTCAGGCCCCATACCTGAACTCTCACGCCCTAGTAGACACTCCTTGAATATCTCCTGCACCCAGGACTGCAATTCCAGGTCACCTTCCACGGCGGCGTCACACGGGTAATAGTAGGTGATGATCTCTGTCACATACCTGATCGGGGGACAGGACCTCAGTTTGAACCCCTGGTGCCTTCCCTTACCATGGTTCTCCCACCTCCCTCAGAATGCCCCAGCATCGGCTGGCCCAGAGCAGCCCTAGGCCTGTGGGTGGGCAGAGGTATCAAGAGGAATGGCTGGGCAAGGTCAGAAAACTCTCAGAGTGCTCCCAGTAAGGATCAGATGAGGCCCACAGGCAGCTCAGAGCCCAGACAGGGTCTGGCAAGCAGAGCCAGATGGGGGCCAAAGCAAAGAAGGGGGCCATCAGGCCTCAGAGGCCCCACCCAGAGTGTGAGCACATGTGTGATCCCCACACACATTCCAGACCTTATCCCTAAGCCCCAGGAGGGCACCCCTGGTCCTTAAAAGCTCCCCAGGCTCCCTGTAACATCCCAGGGTATGTCCACCTCAAGTACCACCCACTGCTGCCCTGAGCTCACCTCTCCAGTGCATCCCACACTGCCAGGCTGTCCTCCCGGTAATAATACCCTGGCAGGTCCTGAACCCCACGTCTCACGAAGTCATCGGGGAGGTAGAGGTTTTCGTACTTGATCTCCGACAGAGCCCGCACCATCGCCTCGGCAAAGCCCGACAGGCCCAGGGACATACTCTGTAAGGGACCAGGCAGACCCTGGAGCACACTGTCTGGGGATCCTCGCACTCCGGCCCAGCACACCCAGCTCGGCCTCTGCAGCCGGGCAGACCCAGCACCCGTCTTAACTGGTCCCCTCCCTCCGTGCCCACTCATGATCTAAAGGCAGCTGGGAAGTTCAGCTTTAGTTGAACTGCAAAGGCCAGAAGGGAAACACATGTCTTGGGGGTTGGGGAAAGAAGTCTTACCCTGGCGGAGAGCCCCCCTTCATTAAGGAGGACAGCCCGCCCGATGCTGTTGATCTGGATGGTGTACCGGGTGTGGGGGATGAGGAGCTGTTGGGGGGAGCAAGGAAGATGATGAGAGAGGGCTGAAGTCATCCCCTGTAGAATGTCAGCACTCCCTGTTTCTGCAACATCAGACCCCCCCAACAGCCCCCCAAGCTGCCTCCCCAAGTCTAGCTGGAATCCTTCTGACTCCTTAGCAAACCAGGCAGCTTTCCGGGGCTAACTGAGGCCAGCGATGTTTCACAGAGGCCCCTTGGCCCAAGCCCATACCTTGTAGAGGGGATGGCACATGGGTAGCTGCCTCAGCAAGGCCAGGCAGAAGGCCTCAGCGATGAGGTGGGTCTCCAGCAAGTGGGAGATGCCCTCGTGGCAGTAGAACTCGGCATAGCGCACCCACGTCTTGGCCAGCAGCCAGTCCCACTCGGAGTCACTGGGCAGGAAGATGGGGCAGTTGGGCCCGGGGGTCTGGCTGAGCTGGGGGTGAGGAAGGAGAAAGTGTTAG